CTGTCCCCTCCTGCCGCCCCCCCCACCGCCGACCAGAACACCACCCTTCCCCCCCCCCACCTCTTTTTTCTTGCAAATCTACAGGAGCATAAATGCATTTATTGCTTAGATTTGCTGTTTTTTTACTCCTTTAAAGACCCACAGATAGGGCTACCTTCGCCTAAGCAGCTGATGGAGCTACGTTTTCCAATGACCTCCGCTAAACATGAATTCTTCTACCCCAAGATGCCCTAAGCTGCGCTACTGCAACCGGCGGGAAGAAGCAGTTAAAAACCTCAGGGTAAATTGTTTAAGGCAATTAAAATTATTTGGAGGTGTTTAGGAAGATTCTCAGCGGCAAAGGAAGCAAATCCACTGCCATAGGATACCACGGAGACAAGGCCCGGAAACACACTTTTGCAACATATTCCCCCCATACATGAACACATACATTCTGTAGAAAGCCAGCCCCATAACCTTTCTGCATGCATTATATTCCCCTAGTGTGGGGTACCTTGCCATGTAGGCGAAGACGTTGCTCGGGACCCAGTATCTATTGGCACAAGTCGTTAGCAGTTGGCACATTGGCCTTACTACGCAGCCACTACGCAAGTAGCCAGCCAGCAAGCTAGCAGAAGTTTCCTGCCTACAGTGGCCGTGCATGAAGCAAACAAGGCTTCTTGAGCTTGTTTGTTAGACTGTCCTGCACCTTCAGTTTCAGCAAAGTACGTTGCAACCCTTTTCCTGCCAAAGCCCCTCCCCTGGAGCCTGGTGGCCTGGTAGTTCTGCCCAGGACGGCTGGATACTAACGGTGGAGGTAATCCGTCTTTAAGGAGCTTTTATCATGAGAATTTGGGCTCCTGTGCAACTCGTAAGAATGCATCTTCCGAATTACCTCCTTCCCAGGACTTCTGTTGTCCTCTGCTCAGAAGCAGCACCTAGAAATGCAGGGGAGGAGGCAGCCTGCCATCAGCTGCACCGCGTCTTGCTGCCACTGAGAGTGCCAAAATCGCAGTTTACACGCACGGCACAAACAAGCCTTCTCGGTAGAGCTTGTTTCTAGGGCCGGCTAGGAGTTGACGCGATCACTATAGACAGGCTGACCAACATCGCTCACACGAGAACGGTAAAAATGCATCTGCCACGAAGGACCCAAAATCTGGCAGTGTTGTTCAATTGTCATTCGATCATTGGGTGATGCGGGGGTGGTGGAAGCAAGATTTTCTAGGTTTTGTACGTAGCTTAGAGAATGTAACGGAACGCCACCCCCTGCTGGAAGACCTATTAAGCCCCCCATGTTGCATCTCTAAACTTTGTTTCGAGGTACAGGAGACTTCATAATCTCGAAGTAGATGTTGAACTTGCCGTTGAAAAATCAACTACACCGGGTGACGTCTAACAACCAAGCAGTGTGTTGGGGCCCATCCTGTGAAATCGTCGCTCTGCAGGAGACGGCAGTCCAGGCAATGGGCAAAGCTGCCTCAGGCGTGCCTGGAAGAAACTGCCCACTTAGAATCAGCTATTTAACTTACAAACAAATACAATCAAAATTCCCCGCAAGGGACAGGCAAGAAGCCAATAAAACGCATTGCTACAATGGAGTATGTACGTGCAATCCAGTTAAGGAACTTTCTTGACCAAAACAAAAGCAAGTGCTGCTCCTTTATCACAAACAGAAATGGCCTCGACAAACATGATACAAGCAAGTGGCATGCCGTTGGCGAGATTGCTAGGACTTATGCAGGTGGAACAAATTTCGTATCTATGGTTCCCTCCGGAGCGAATAAGCTATGAATTTTCAGTCTGCGTGGCGTATGGTAATGTGTGCATTAGTTCTACCGTGCGTGTTTGGGAATTCAATGCAAATGAAAGGCAAGGTTATACGAAGGATAAGCGCTTTAGGAAACAAAAAAAAAAGGCACGTTTTGAATCATATGGAGAGTGGTGCAGCTAGTGTTGCTTGAACTGATTACGAGAACCATACACAAAATCCCGTAGGCGCAATAGGAAGACCTACTGCGGGGCAGAGAGAAAACTGAAGAAGTGGCTATTCACGAAGTTCTTGGTCTGCCACTGAAGCGCCTGTTCAATCTCCTGACTCTTTCCACCACGCAGTGCCACGTGTAGCATATTCTGTGTGTCGCTTGACAGCTGTTTAAACGCCTTTGTTTCAACAAGCGACGCACCAACACGTTTCAGGAAAGCGAAAGGCATGATGGTGTCGAATGGATCCCTTACGAGGTGGTAATTTGCCAAGCTGAAGATCAAGCCACAGCACAGCCCCCTTAAATATTTGGACGTCTCTGAAAAGAAACGTGATCTAAAAGATACATTTCATCCGTGTAATATCTGCTGAAGTCTTCGCCTTGGCTACACGCAGAACTCCTGAGAAACTTATGGGCGATAACAATTGTTTGAAGTCTCCTATACCTATCTAAATAGAACAACAGGCTTTGGTCCTGCAACAGATAGTGCACAGGGGTTTCCACTATCGTCCACGCCTTCAACTTACCAGTAGGCTAGGTTTCTCGTCCAAACTTCTCCGGGATGAGGAAACTGCTTCAAAGCGTTGGGCAGGCAGGCCTCTACATTTGCGGTAGATATTGGGAAGGCATCTTTCCTGTCAAGGTCTTTAGAGAACCAGTAACGCCTCCAAAACTGCAGCACATGCCAAACAATACCTGCGCTACACCACATCCATGATACATCCTAAAGATTCCTTAGGCTCCCTTTTGCAGTGCTTCTGATGAACGAAGTGGCGTCCACTTCACCGTGTTCCACCTTCTCGTGTTTATGCTTACGCGCATTGCAGGAAGTAAAGTGTAAGCAGCTGAAGTATTTTGGTTATTTTCGATTCCTCGAAGAAACTCGTCTTCGCACGACTCTCGGAATGGAATCTTAAGAGTAAGCAAAGTTTGGTTAATCGCATCCCGTCTGACCCCAACCGGGTTAACAATGTGAATAACAGTTGGCCGATGACGGAGCCTTGAAATTGTGGCCAAGATATCTGCTGAAATATCTATAGGGGTGCTTAGGAAGGGAGGACCTACCGGTAAAACTCCAGGAGGCACGACACCCTGTTGCAACGCAGCCATTGAGATGGCAAAGAATGGGTTCAGGAATTCGACCCTGCCATTATTGAAGTAGACTGCTGAGTTTGGAAGCCTATACACAGTAAAGCTGAATTTGTCTTTGATGCCGTGGAAGTCGTCTGCTGCTGATGCTTTCCAGTTATTGATCCAATTCTGGCATTTCGCAAGTACCTCTTCGACAGCCCACCTCGCCCAAGGGTAGCCCATGATGCTCGCTGGCATCTGGTTCTCCATTCTATCAAGCAAAGGCTGCGGAACACCTAGCTCTTCCAATATTGGCTGGCTAAGGTCACCAGAGAATGCTGCAAAGTACTGGATGTATGCCGCAAAGTCTGACAGCACATGAAGGTGTTTCGCCCTTCCTGTCGTGCACAACTCGACAAGAGGAAGGAGCGACAAGACATTGGCTTTCCGCAGTGCTTCGTAAGGCAATGCAAAATCGACAACCCTTCCAGCATGGTAAACTGCCTCTACCTTGTTTGCCAACGCGTCAAATGTCTCCTGAGACAGGCCCATCCTTGGCGCCCTCAGATCCCCCACAACTGGTATGACTTGCTCAAAGAAGCGTTGGTTCCACTGATTCCCTCTTCCTACGACAGCATCCACAATTCTATACATGGCGTGCATGCGATCACGAGCTTGGACAAGACAGTAAATGCGAGGAAACCCGTTCTGACCGTTTCTGCCGCAATCGATTTTCCGTTCTAGCAAACTCAGCAGAATCCGGCTGCCAGTGAGCCCTGTAGCGCCCGTTAAAAATATCTCGGAAACTGAATCAGGAGGTGTACAAGGGTTCAAAGATTCCAATTTGTCCTTGCTAAGCATGTCGTTGCATATGCAACGGATCAAGTAGGCCACGTCGTCTCGAGGGGTTTGTTTCCTGTCCTGGGCCAGCAGTGCTGCGGAACCCAATAAGAAGACAAATTTCTGAGAATCTAGAGGGAACGAGTTGTGATTCCATACATGACGCGTTACCTGCAACCATAGACACACTGCAGTGTTTAAGCTATTACGCAGTACTGCTTAAAACCAATTGAAAGCAGATATGGGTCATATCATGCATCGCATCATCTATGTGAACGGTCACAACATGCGCAACTGTCATATGAAGCAATCACAATAAATCTCCCACCTGTGGCTCTTTTGCAGGGTCGTCACCCTCTTCGGTGATCGCGGCGACTACTGTGCCACCAAGACCATAAGCAAGGTTCGCACCGAATATTCTTGTTTCATTATCTGTCGTACGAATAGCTTGACCTTCCCGGGTGTAAACTATTCTGCTTGTGTCAAAAGCGTCAATGTCTGGATGCATCTTGTTAAACTGGATATTCGGCGGAACATACCGGTGCTTCAAAGAGAGGACCGTTTTCACGAATGCAACGAGTGCTGCAGCCGAATCAAGATGCCCAATGTTGTTGTGCGCAGTGCCCACGATTAATGGACTTTCTTTTGGCCTCTTCTCAAACAGATGCTTGACTGCATTCATCTCTATAATATCGCCGAGAACTGTAGCTGTACCGTGTGCCTCATAGCACCTGACCATGGATTGGTCAACTCCACCACTTTCTAGAGCCATGTTCAGGACCCTAGCAAGAGCTCTGGTGTTTGGCGCTGTCAAACGTGCTCCTTGGCCATAATGCGAAATTGCCGTGCCGCGCACAATTGCGTGCACGAATTTTGACTCTGACCGTGCAGCGGCTAACGGTGCAAGCAAGACTCCAGCAGCACCTTCACCACGTACAAGGCCATCTGCTGCAGCGTCAAATGTGCGACACCTGCCAGCCTTTGAGAACTGCCTCGTTTTACTGCCACCCAAAAAGAAGCACGGGACAAGAATTAAGCTTACTGCGCCAACGAAGGCTTTTGAACATGATGCTAGCCTCAACTTCGTAATTGCTGTATCCAGGGCTACTAGGCCTGACGCACACGCTGCATCTACGCCTATGCTGGGTCCGATAAGCCCGAAAGAGTACGATATCCTGTTAGGGATCAAACACATTAAGCTTCCGGGCTCAGGATACCCGGATGCTTCACCTAAGCGGGGCACACCGCCATCCACCCCTTCTCCAATAGCAAGGATGCCATTTTCGCCCTTGGTCAAACTAGAAAGCTGATAATCATTCATGTATGTTGCACAAAAGACTCCTATTTCATGGCCTTTCACATCGTTTCGTGTGTATTGTGCATCGACCAATGTTTCGTAGGCCACTTCCAGTAGGACACGCTGCTGAGGATCGATATTTCTAGCCTGGCTTTCAGTCATTTGAAAGAACTCATTGTCAAATAGATGAGCGTTATCTAGTAAGGCTGCTTCCTTTACATAGCATTTGTTCTCATCTGGATCCGGATCAAAAAGGGGCTGTATATTAAATCGCTGCCAGGGAATATCTTCAACACAGTCGGTACCAGCCAGTAGCATATTCCAAAATTCCTGAGGTGAATTGCTTCTCCCTGGTAGTCGGCACCCTATGCCGATCACCGCAAATCCATCTCCAGAGTGATTTGATGGCTGAAGTCTCGGACCTGGTGTTCGATATGTGGAGCGTAAACCTGGTTCAGCGCATAGGTCTTCAGCGATGTACTCAATGACTTCACCTAGGGTTGCATATTCGAGAAGCAAAGAAGCTGGCAAGCTCATAGCGAGACGCTCCTGAAGAAGATTTCTAAGCTCAACAGAGCCCAAAGAGTCGAGACCCAGTTCATCCAAACGTGTTCCTGTACTGATCACCTCATCTTTGTCAACCAACGATCTTGCAGCCTCAAGAACTACCGCTTCGATCAACTCCTTCGACCGTCCTTTATCCCTAGAGTTCTCTGATGAAGTTTGAGTTTCCGAAACTCTTTCTGCTAGTGCTCGTGGAATATTATGGCCAAATGCCTGGAAATACTTTTTCCAGTTCACATTCAAGGCGCATACACATGGTTCCTCCGTCTGTAAGGCTAGCTCCATGATTTGTATGCCTTCTTCAGGCGTGAATGGCTTTATCCCACGGGACCTAAATACCCGTTCAAGCTTTTCGTTACGTGTGACCATTCCTACATCGTTCCAGGGTCCCCACTGAATGCTTTGGGCTTGAAGTCCTTGAGACCTCCGCCAGTATGCCAACGAATCTATATATGCGTTGGCTGCAGCATACGTGGCTAGAGCATCATTACCAGGTAATACGGAGATTGATGAAAAGAGAACGAACATACCCAGCCCACGTTCTACATCTAATGCTTGGCATGCGAGATGCAGATTCCATGCTCCGTATGCTTTCGGCTCAAAAACGCATTCGATGCTTTTCAGGCTAGAATCAAGAAGACTCGGCTGCCCCTCGTATCCAGCACAGTGGAATATGCCTCCGATGGGAATGCTTTCGTGGATTCTGGAGAGCGTATGCCTGAGGTGTTGAGCATCCTTGACGTCGCACAGCATGATTGCTGCTCGACCGGCATTGATTCCCTCCTCAACAGTCTTCCATGCTGGCGTTTGCTGCAATGCAGTAGCTGGCTTGCCACTCCTAGACAAGAGAGCAACAAATCCTGCCCCTCTATTTAACAGCCACTGTGAAACGCTCACGCCAAGTCCTCCAGTACCACCAGTGACTACATATGACTTTGCAGATGTAATGACAACTCTTGTCCTTGACTGAGGCGTTGCAACTTGCTGTAGGCGCGGAGCCAAATGACAATTGTTCGTAATGATGATGTCCTCCTCCACTAACGAAAATAGTTTGTCGTTCAACAAAGTACGTTGGGTGGAAATCCAGCTCCAAGCCTTGCTGAGGCATCCAAGTGAATATTCTTCAACGTTCACGTATATCATCGGAAACGGCTTTTTACAAAGCCTCTGAATTTCCAGACGACTTGTACGGCACATGCCTAGTAACCCTGCCTGTCTGATGTCAGCGTCAACACCCTGTTTGCTATGAGTGTGCTGAGCTGTGATACCAAAGGCGCTACTGCTGCAGCTTACAATAACACAGAAGGTTGGGCTGAATCCCTGGTCGGTTTGAGCTGATCTTGAGTAAGAAAGGAGCACAGTCCGCAGTTCTTCGAGGCAAACTGTCGGGGTTGAGGACATCCATAGGCCACCGGCAAATATAACACAGTCAATACGCCCAGAAGCTAAAGAGGGAAGCGGTGTCTCTGGTTGTATGCCTCCGGATTCCACAACCCCAGCGTCACCCATGTTTGACGACTTCAGAAGACTGCGGAAGGCCGACATATGTTCCTTGGGAACACCACAGAACAGGCAGTTCTGCGCAAAACTGGAGAGAGACTGAAGCGACGAGTCGGGTGGTGTCAACTCCTTCCATTTCATCTTCCATAGAGGGCCTTGAACGGCTTGACCCACCCCCTGTTCAGGTTGATTGCTAGCTTCCTGGACGCTTTGCCGGCGTGCAGCTTCGAGCGGGAAAGGAAACTTTCTGTACGAAACCGGATAATGTACGCTCACAGCATGACATGGTATAAATGCATGGATTAGGAGCGCACGCAGAAGTACTACGTTCGGTGTTTAGTGTGCAGGAGTGGACGGTGGACAAGCTTACTTGTGGTTCCACCTGAAGACAGGGCAAGTTGATACCGCTGCGGATATCTTTCCAAGCCACGCTTCAAGTTCATCTTTCGATTCCGAAGTGCGGTCGCGCCCTGCTAGCTCATAATACTTCACACATTCTTGCTTGCTCCTCCCCAGAATCTGGCCTGCAAGATTAACGAGTGTCCTCTGTGGCCCGACCTCCAAAAACACGATGTGATCGGAGTCAGCTGCCTTTACAGCTGCCTCCACGGCTTCTCTAAACCTCACGGGCAGTGTAAGCTGTTCGCCCCAGTAGTGCGGATCCTGAGTCTCTGACGGTTCCAGTACTCGTCCACGTACTGTCGATGCAATTGTGATAGACGCTGGCTGCAGGTTGACTGTCGAAATAATGGCTTCCATCTCCGGGACAGCTCCAGCCATCAGCGGCGAGTGGAAAGCATGGGACACATGCAGACGCCTGGAAGCCTCCGACACTCCAAGATGCCTCAATAAAGTATCTACGTCCTCTTTTGTGCCTGTTT